GTCAAGTTATTTGCATATGAAGAAGACTACAAACAACCAAACTTGTAATTTTGATTTAATTCTTCTAGACAATAAAAAAGAATAGCTAATCAAGAAGAGTCATATCAAAAACAGTAAACATAAATAAACTTTTTTTTTGTCTCAAATTCCTAACAAAAGCAAACAACATAGAGAAATAGGAATTAAATTTTCTTTATATATATATATAAGGGTATATATGTAAATACAACAATAATGTTGAATATCATTTTGTCTGTGAATCATACTCAAAAAAGGGAGAGAGAGAGATGATTATTTTTAAATGTTTTATATTTCCTTCGTTATTAAATGATTTATATTTCCTTCGTTATTTATTATCTAAGGCCTGAATTTAAACTGTTTCAAGTCATTTTTAAATGATTTATATTTCCTTCGTTATTAAAAATAACTTCGTCTAGATGATTATTTAAAATTTTCAATTTCTGTCTCAAAAAAAAAAAAAAAAAAAAAAAAAAAAAAGAAAGGTGGCAAGGATTTCCTCATTCCCGATTTATGCGATTCACAAGACTCCTTGATTTACTCAAAGCTCTTCTGCTCTTGCTATCGAACTGCCTTCGCTTGCTACATTTCAAGCCGAGGGTTAGAGCATCGATTTGTTTGGTCCGCCTCCCCTCAGCAACCAAATACCCTTCCTCCCTCTTCCTCTGTTTCGATTGTCGTCGCAAACTGCCCTTTTCCTCTTAGGCTGGAGCTTGTGCATGAGGCATCGAGCTTCTTTCCCTCCTTCTGATTCTCATGGATGAGTTATCTTGTGTCATTCTATTTCTTTTTTATTAGTTTAGTCTTATTATTTATGAACTTAAGTAATAAGCATTTTTAACTTAAATTTTCATGCTCAAATTGATAATTTCTCATCTTAAACAATCTCGAGTTAACTTAAGCTGATTTTATTGTCAAAGATGATATTAAAGAATTTAATATCAAATTTTGTTATATTATAACATCATAAAATTTGTTAGATTACTATTAAGTTGTCATTAGTATATTTGTAATTAGTTGGGTATTTGTTGGTGTAGGACCTTTGAGAACTTCTCCAGGAGTTGCTAATTGAACAATCCATAAATCTTAAATTTGTTAACCAGTTACTAGATATAAGTAACTATTTTTTATTAGGGGATAAACATATCATTTCTAGTTATGAGTGTTATCCTTGCTGCTTGTAGTAGATTTATTGATATTCTATAGAATTAACAGTCCTGCCCTTATTACTTCATTTAGATTTCTTTTTGGTAGTTATTATAGACTTAATTATTACTCAATATGAACTAATTAACTACTTTATTTTATCAAAACACAACTCCCAATGATGTGAATAAACCATGGAATTACAATAAATTCTTTTAGTGCACTTTACTTTTATGAATTACATATAAATTTATGATGTATCATTAGCTTGTTTAAGGAGCATGTTACAAATACATTTATTTGTGAAAAAAAATTACAATTTTGTATGCTTGTATGCAGTGGTTTGTAAGTCGGTGGAACCTTTTGGATATTGGCTGACCGGACTGAGGGTCTACAGAGTGATGACTCTATAATAAATTGTCTAGTTTCCATGGGTTGATGTTTACGTTCTCGATTTCAGGGTGTATAATAAAACTAAGTTTATAATTATAAATTGAATTGAAATTGAATCGTAAATAACTGCTAAATTCTACACTCGTAAGACTTGATCAAATTTAAAATACTTTATTCCTTAAAAATTGAGCATATTCATAATAATGTTTACAACACTCTTATTAACTTATGATGCTGTATATACATATAGCAATTATCTCTTTGTTATTCATATTGCATGTTTCAATTCATTGTCATTCATGCTTTAATAAATAGTGATTATTCACATAGTTTGATTTGTCAAATTCTCACGTTGATATTTTCGTATAGCATGATCTAATCACCCAATTACAGGACCGTCCCCACACGAGCAGAAATTGCAGTTTATTATTATTATTTATTTATTTTTTTTTTTTTTTGGACGATTTCGGCTTTGCATTAATTATTGCATTTCCTCTTTTAGGTTATGGGTAATTATTTACTAGATGATTCGGTTAATTTATATGGATATATTTTGAGCTTTTACAAATTGAACTCAGTTATCTCATTGTATAAACATAATATTTGACACATTGTATAGAATTATTGCTTCATGATTTAATACTTTTATACCATTTTAATCAAAGTTTGTAACTACACGAATTTTTGGTAAGTTTAGCACAATAAATGAAGTCAAGACATTGTGTTTTTATTATATTCGTATTATGTTAAGTTACAATGTTAATTGGGGTTGCCATTAACAAAATCATCACCACTGCCCTGAAATTCAATATATGCAGCTGAAATTGACTCGATCAATTCTGAAATTTATTTTATATCTGACATATTCAATCTCAATCATAAAAAAAAAAAATTAAAAAAATTGCAAGACACCAATCAATCAAATTGAAATCAGGTCTCAATAGTATGAGAAATATTTACGTATGTAAGACGTACGCAGAGCTACGTACATCTGTAGATTACCGGGAGGGTACTGAGAGTTATATCTGCGTTATACCCCCTGCAACCTCCTTGTAACCTACATGTAACTAGTAAGTTTCACGCTTCTGCTTTCATATATTTCTAAGTTACAGGTAGGTTATAGGGAGATTACATGAGATATAACGCGGATATAACCCTCAATACCCTCTCTGAAACCTATCAGACGCACGCAACGCTGTGTACGTACGTCTCTTACGTACGCAAATATTTCTTGAATAGTATATTTCACATTCAGGCTATCAATTCCTTAAAAGCCAGGTGAAAGAGAAATTTCAAAAAGGAGCCATTAAATATTAAAAATTGGGAAAGAGGAGCTGAGGCCTGAGGGTAGTAAAAAAGAAGAAAAATGTAGAAAGTAAATTTTATATTAAACGTGGGAATAAGAATTATTATATTAGCATATCAAATAAATATTAAAATAATATATTACATAATAACAAAATATTATTATAATATAATGTTGGATGCGATTAATCCCGTGCTTTTCATTAAATGGTTATTAATTAAATTATCTAATTATTAGGATGAGCAATTATTATAATATTTTTTTTAGAAATCAAATAAATTTAAAATGATGAAAATTTTTAATTAAATAATTTGTTAATAATTTATTATAATTTTTTAAATTTTAAAATTAAAATTATTAAAACTATGTAAATTTGAAAATATAAATTATTACAAAGTTATATTTAATGATATTTTAAAGTAAATAAGTTATTTAATGAACTATAATAAATAATTTTTGAAGTTTAAAGTTATTTTTTAAACTTAAATAAAATAAGGAAAATTTTTTATTAAATTATGGGATATTAATTAAATAAAATTATTAAAAAATTATACTAATTAATGAATTATTTGTATAATAAATTGTCTTACCAATTGATTTATTTTTTTATACTTTTTTTGCTCCTAATTATTATTTTTTTTAAAACTCCCTACGACGAACAGCTTCGCATTATGTATATAACAAATAAACTTCAAATTTTATAGACATATCATTTTATCTACCCATAAAAATATGTATTTCATTTTTAAGAATTAAAATAATTGTATTCTTTGATGAACTATAAAATTTTAGCTTAGATATAAAAATACATATGAATTAGGTTGTATGAATGTAAATGGCTCAAAATGGATGCAACTTCTTTTGGTTCTCGATGGACACTTTCCCTCGTGTCAACGTCTTGAAGGGAATACAAAGGAATTATGTGGTATCCATAACAATTGTCTATAGATCGATCATTTCAAATGGTCAATGGCCAAGAGAAACCACCCAAGGGAATACATAGGAATTTTGTGGTATTCACAACAATTATGTGGTATGTTGTCTAAATTATATATATATATATATATATATATAATTTAGACAACATACCACATAATTGTTGTGAATACCACAAAATTCCTATGTATTCCCTTGGGTGGTTTCTCTAAATATATATATGATAGCAAACGTAATAATACAATAACTCTTTTATCCTAGTAATTAGATGATTTTAATGAATAACCGTTAAATTTAAAAAATTGGGGCTAAACACATCCGGCACCTTATTATGATAATTTTTAAATTTTTAATATTTATTTAGTGCAACATTATAATAATTATTTAAATTTGGGGTTAGCCCACATTTTTTAATTAAACTTGGATTAATCCCATGTTTAATATAAATTTATTTATTTTATTAAAACTTAGTACTATTATACGTTTTTGCTCCTTTTTATTGCCCTCTTGGACTCGAGCTCTTACCAATTTTAAATATCAAAAGGCCCCTTTTAAAAATTTGTCCCCATTTGAACCACACAAAAATTGCAAAACTATTTCATTTTTTGTAAAATTGTAGCCTGATTTTATCATAATTTCTAAGCAAACAATAAGGAAAATTATTTTTTTATATTTCTCAAAGAAGTCCTTAAAAATATTATTTTCCTAAGTAAATCAAAAGAATAATAAGTAATTAATTAAGCCGAGCTCAAGATTATTTGAGCTTAAGTGCTCGTTTATTACAAAATTATTCATACTCACAGATAAATCAAGTATCAAGACGTTCAAATATTCTCATTTTGAAAGAGTATTTCTAAATGCTCAATTTTGTTTCACAATATATAGATTTTTCAAAAATATCTGCCATCTTTTCATAAATTAAAAGGCCAACTAATAGGTTCTTAATTCATCCATGTGTCAAGTGGGCCCCACCGCTTTCAACATTGGCCAATATTAATATATTGCGGTGGGGCCCACTTGACACGTGGCGCCCATCATTTAACTCCGGATGCATTCAGATGTAATATTCTCTCCATCCACAGAATTATCATATAACGGAAAAATACACTCCAACATAGATCAAAGCTTACTATATTCCTCAATCTCAGCACGAAAACAGGAACATTACAGAAATCAATTCCACATTCAACATAGCATTTGCTTTACTGCCATAACAACTATTTACAAATTATAAAATAACATAAAGAAAACTTACAAAAAGCACAACCCATCTTGTGCTTCTTAAAATATAGCAAGCATTCAGTCCAAAAAAGAGATAAAAAAATCACAGAAGCAAAAAACACAAGTCCTTGACACAATATTAAACATAAGCTGTACATATACAATAAGTGGGGAGTAGTTGAAAAACTTCAGCCTGGAACGAAGTAGTCCATCTTGTCCACAGGAAGGTTCAAGACTGACGTTTCCACCTGCAATGCACAAGTAATGGCGAAGGAATTAAAACCGGCAAAGTATAAAGTTTAAATCCATAAATATTTCACTTGATTTAGGCCACACAATAAATATTAAAAGAAAAGCCATTAAAAGGAAAGTTTCACTCAACACATGGCAAATATTAAAAGGTAATTTTTAATTAAATACATGGCAAATATTGTCTGAAAAAGAAAAACAAATTTGAACTAACAATTTGAACTTTAAAAAAAAAGAAGGGAGAAATTTACTTACATACCACACAATTTTTATGTATTTACATATCAAACACCCAAGGTTTCACTTTATGCTTATAACACTTTGGTGTCAAAAACCTATGCATGAAAATGTGCATTTTATTTAAAAAAATAATAATGAGGTGGTATTTTTGATATGATGCTAACGATTTAAGTGTCATGTATGTAAATATAAATGTTTTAGATATGTAAATAAATAAGAATTGTGTGGTATGTATGTAAATGCCCTTAAAAAAACATAGAATTTTAAAATAATCCGGTCTAATTAAAAAATTTCGCCTCATTAAGCAACTCCAATAGTATTTTTTTAAAGTAGGAGAAGCACTATAAATAATCCATTGAATTTGCCATTGAGTTCAACTACTACACCATAACACAAAATTATATGTTATAGCATCAACTATATTAGAAATATCAATGAACTCTAATTCTAGCAATTGCTCAAGAAAATCTCTGTTAGTTCTGCATCTATTTATGGTTGAAAACTCATTTTATGAAAGAAATAGTAGATATTTACCACCGAAAATGAGAACAGGTTGGAGTTACGATTTATAATCATGGAATGAACTCGATCAACATTTACATAAGAATTAATAACCTCTCTCAATAGGTCAAAATAAATTTGTATCCAATATCAATCTTGCTCATGTTAGCGAGCTATGCAACAACGTAGAGGCCATAAATATCAAAAAATCAAGAATCATGGCAGATAGTTCTTTCAAGGCTTAACACATGTATGAGTGAGTTAAGACAAAGAAAATATACATACATACAACTCAATTCTTATGTATTTACATATCAAACACCTAAACTTCAATTTTTACACCACCTTCCTATGCATGAACATATATATTCCACTTTTTATGTGTAATGCCCCAAAAACTGATAATAAACTGAAGTTGAGAGGCTCACCTCCTCAAATGGAACAAAAACAAAGGGTGACAAGCCGCTCCTATGCGAAATAGCAGGCACATCAGGGTTATGTGTCTCATCTTCCTGCCACCCTTCAACTAGTCCTAAAATGTCATCACCATCATCACTTATTTCGGACTCATTCAGGCCAGTCGTAACAAGTCTCAACATATCGAGCCGGTTGTTCGCACCTATTGTGGTTCCCCTAATCCTATTACAAGCCACCAACTTTTAGCACAACCATTTATGGTTAAATGTAAAGAGTTTGGTAACAATTTTGACACATCAATCTAAAGTTTCAAAATAAAACAAGAAACATAACATCAAAAAATTTCAATATATACTTCAATATTGGATACTTGAATACCTTAAGCGCATTCTAAGAAGAGTTCGACGAGAGCCTGAATACACGAGAACTGCATTAATCTACAAAAAAATTAAAAAAAAATTAAGAAATTTTATCTGCAAAAGAAAAGAAAAAAAAAAAAAAGAGGGAGCAATGGCTTTCCTAGGGAGGTAGAAAAGGGGAGCTTTAACAGAAAAATTTTAGAAAGGTAGAAGAAACAAATGAAATAAAAAATTACCTGATCATCAGAAAGTGTACTTTCACCTTGGAAGACACACTCAGCTTTCGATGCACGAATCATGATTTTTGCCACCTCTTTAACCTTTTGAGATGAAATCTATTTGTTGAAAAAATTAAAATCAGTGAATAGAAGGAGAAAGATAAAGGAAATTTACATACATACCATATAATTCTCATGTATCGACATATCTAACAACTAAACTTCTATATTTACATTTAAAAAATTTTGGTGTTACGAAACCATAAATGAAAAGGTGTATTTCACTTTTAATAAGAAGGCAAAATTGGTATTTTTGATGTGATGCTAAAGATTTAAGTGCTACGTATATATATATGAAAGTTTAGGTGTTAGATATGTAAATACAAAAGAATTGTGTATGTATATAAATCCCTTTAAAGATAAACTAAAAAGTACTAATGTGCAAGTCTATATATTACCTTGTAAAGGAACTTGCCATTTGGGAAAAATCTGAGATAGCGGAAGTAGCAAACCTGAGATTCAAATTTGCAACAAATAATGATTGGATATATTTGATAAAAAAAAATTTTAAATATAAAAATCTATCCAGTTAGATATCTGGGAATAATAAATCCATGACTTTAGGCTTTAGAAATCATTTGCTAAAAAGAAATACTGCAAAAGACCAGCGTAGAACATACAAATTATCAAGGTAAGAAAATGTAAGAAAAAGCGAACATACCAGATGGACCGGATTAGTGACCTTCCACTCTGCAACTCCAGTACGTATATAAGTATTTCTGCTCACATAAAGGCCTGTTAGAGAAAACATAGTAGCGTAAAATCGATAATTCCACCTGATAATGAGTCAACAAAATTAAAAAACTATGAAAACTTCAATGGTGTATAAGTAAATTTACATAAATGTGAGGCGTTAACGTTTCAGATGAATTAAAATATCTATCATTCATCTAAATATGTAGTTTTTCAGTGAATTAGGATAGAATACACATGAATTAGGAACTTAAATAAAATTGAGCAGTTCTTATAGCATATATATAATGAGAAAGAAAGCATATAACCAAATAAATACAAATAACTTTTTGTTACAGCACCAGAAAAACTATTAAATTAAGATTAGTAAGAACATATAAAGCATACCATCATTTCTAATCCTTGGTCTGGAAATCCACATCTTTCTCCATGAACCCTCAAACATGAATTGCACCATTTTGTAATTTGTCAATGCTCCAGAAAGCTTCATTACAAGTTTTGCATTGTATTGGAATTACAATCACAATACAAAAAATATATATGTTTTTTTGTTTCCATTTACATTATTACCTGCCATGTTTTCAGGCATGCTCTACGCCATAAAATTGGATTGTGAATCGTATATCTCCACTTGCGACAAACACATGCGGCCCTCCCTAAACTGAATGGACTCATTCGCAAAAAAACCTGATAACAAGAGCAAGATAAAATCACTCAAACGAAAAAGAAATAAATAAGCAGAGTTACTCTTCAATACGGAGTGAAACTCTAGATGAGTAGTGAATCATAAGTCAATCTTCGATATGGAAACAAAAGGAGAATAACACAGTAAGGTAGAATTATTAGGGAAATAGATCTGGTGTAAGAGACTTACAGGGAGAGCCAGGCAACAAAATAAACAACTATATTGCTTTCTATTAAATATCAAGCAGAAATAACATATGCAAAGGGAACTTGTGATCATTAAAAAGGGAAGATGATTCAAGTAAAAGTAAGTCCTCATATTTTCTAAGAAACTTTTACTAGTTTGTATTATTTATTACTAGTTCTTTCTTTGATCAATTGGGAAACTAAAAAGAAATTTATACAGGTTATTAAATTACCACTATACAAATGAAAGTATTATGATGATTTTTTTCCCTTCTACTGCATCTTTATTCTTTAGTCTCAATGTATGACCAACTATTGCCTACATTGACACACCATGGATTTCAATGAAGGATTGAATTTTAATTGATTGTATGATTTTGATCTTTCGTAATTTCCACAAATTATTTGAGGGCATTTACATACAACAACAACAACAACAACAACAAAGCCTTAATCCCACTACGTGGGGTCGGCTACATGAATCATTTTTCTCCATTGCGTCCTATTTAGTGTCATATTTTTATTTAGTTCTAGTAAATTAAGGTCATTTTTAATACAATAAGCCTAAGTCTTCCTAGGTCTACCTCTATTCTTAACATCATTCTTAACACAAGTCGAATCTAAAACATCTACTCTCCTAATCTCATCAGATGGCATTTACATACATACCACCCAATTCTTATGTATTTACATATCTAACATCTAAACTTTAATTATTACATCTATAGCACCCAAATATTTTGTAACACATAAGAAATACCACCATTTTAACTTTTAAAACGTGAGATACACGTTTTGATGCATAGGGAAGGTGGCATGTATGTACAAGTTAAAGTTTAAATGTTAGCAATGTAGATGCAAGAAAATTGAGTGCTAAGTACGTAAATCTTCCAATTATTTATGGTAGAAAATTTATAAATAATCATCTACGTGAAATCCTTCTAATTTCAATTCAATTGAAAGTAATTGATAGTTGTTTAAATTAAGAGTTTGTGCTCCGCAAATTTATGGGCATTTGCACAATTTTGTGCATCCATTGTAGCTATACATTAGCGAACACTAGATCCTATGACATCCTACATCAATGGGATCAAAATAAAAATCTAAATCAATAGCTTCGTAAGGAGGGATACCGGATTCCCCAATAATAAAAGAAACAAATTCAAATGGATTCCATAAAGACTTTGCAATTTTTAAAAAAAAAACACAACTTAAATCCAACATGTAAACAATGGACATAAGAAAAAAATTTTGATGTCAAAGAATGCTAGTTTTAAATTGGAATGTGAGGCCTCCTTCACAACTATCAATGAGTTACCTTGAGTTAGTTTTGTATAATGCTTATAGAACTAAGCTCTTGCATAGAATAGCTCACTATAAGTGCAAGCTACACAAATCAAATGTAATACATACACTTTATAATCCATCTAACCTATGAATGGAATGAAACCACATTGTTTAAAAGTTTTATAATAAAGAATAGGCGATTTTACGTACATATCCAACGATTCTTATGTATTTACATATCTAACACAAAAAATTTGTTATTTACACTCATAACATAAATCTCAAGCATAAAACAGTGTATTTAACTTTTAAAAAGATAGTGATGGTGGTAAATTTGATACAATGCTAAAGATTTGAGTGGTATTCATGTAAATATGAATATTTAGGTGTTAGATATGTACATACAAAAGAATTGTGTGGTATTTATGTAAATGGCCCTAAAGATATAGAGAGCATGCCTCAAAAAGTAACTCATCTGGCAAACAACGATGAATAAGGGCAGGATCATCAAAAGGTTTGCTGCTTGCACTTCCAAAGGGAGCTACTGGGCGAACTCGATTTCCATACAAATCTAATAAGGATCAATATAAGATTAAAAATCCTTCCAAATAAACAAAAAAAGAGGACATTACACCTGTTTTTTCAGAAACTCACTCAGCCAAGGTCTCTCAGTTCCCATAAACTGCATGGTTATCAAACGGGAGAACCATGCAAGCTCCAGAGGAGCTGAAATGCTGATATCTGCAATGTCAATTATTTGTTTAAGAAAAATGAAACAATTAAGGCATCACATTATAAAAAAACGCAAGCTTTACTCGATTATTACAAGAAATCTACAATCCAATTCTTAATCACAAAACTTGCATCCCTATCTTCAGAAAAATATGTGTCTTTTTGTCAGATTTCGTGAAGATTAACCAGTTGAAAAATTTTCTTGTTGAATTTCATAGGGATTCTAAGGTACTTCCAGTTAAAATGCAAACATCCAACTCGAAGAGAAGGATTACCGTGCTGAGCTCATCAAGAACCAAAAATCACCCTCAAGGGCTCAAGTGGAAGCCCTAATAAAAGTTAGCATTTTCATCGACATGAACAATGAAGCATACATAGATAATTAAATAAAAGGAAGAAGGAAAAGTGAACAAAGCACGAGCTCAAACAATTGACTCACAATAATCTGAGACCTAAATCAGCGAACCAATAAATTGTAGAACACCGAGTTTTTTTCATTAATAATGATCAATATCCCATAATCCCTTGTCAAATCCAAGATCAAGAATTAAATTTTCTGAAACAGGAAAAATCAAAAGATGAAAACATTGAAAGAGGAAGAAAGATTTACCTGATGCCATTAGAACCAAAATTGACTGGACTTGTTAAAGAATGGCGGAGGGAAGAAATAGATCAGGGAACTCATCACCTACCTCCGTCATCATCTCAAAAACGAGTCAACAGAATGAGGCGAAACGATTCTCATCGTCTAAAAGTGAACCATAGAATGAAAAACCCGAATCTGACCGTCGGATTCGAGTTGGCAGAGGCCAATCCTTCCGAACCCAATCTGATCGAGACCGTTGAATCTAAAGGCAAGTTGTTCGAGAATACGAGACCGAGTTCAATCAGTGAGCGGCAAAGCCCCCACAAAAGAAAGGCCAACCGAAAAAAATTGCGTACGTCAAGGGGTACGCATTTCTGCGTACATAATAGTGTACACGGAAGTTACATGGGAGTTACAAACGTGTACACGAGAGTTACATAGGAGTTACAAGCATGTATAATTGTTACAGCGGGGTTATACGGGATTTACACAGCAGGTTACACGGGAGTTACACGGGAGGTATAACAAGTTATAACCCCCTTATAACTCTCATGTAACTCTCATATACACTATTATGTACGCAGAGATGCGTACCCCTTGACGTACGCAAATTTTTTCCAAGGCCAACATATTTTGGGGAGGCATTTACATACATACCCGCCAATTCCTATATATTTAAATATATAACACCTAAGCATCACTTTTTTACACATAGTTGCAAAAATTGAAGATAACAGATATGTAAATACATAAAAATTGAGGAGTATGTATGTAAATTTTCCTTTTCTAAATATTTGATTTGGTTTATTGTCGAGATTTTAGGTTGAATTTTTTTTTTTAAATTTTGTCCGCTTGTTTGAGAACAATTGTAATACAATGAATTAACTCTTAAGTATGGATATAGAAAAAGATTATTATAATAAAATTTTGGGCATTTACATACATACTGCCAAATTCCTATGTATTTTCAAATGTGACACTTATATTTTATCTTAATATATAAATACATAAGAATTGAGTGGCATGTTTGTAAGTCTTCCTATTGTAAATAGTGATTTCTAAAATATAATTTTTAATTCTCTCAATCATTATATAAGTCTCTTTTTATTGCTAAATAAATAATGTTAGAAATGCATTAGCATGAACATTGAAGAAATTCAATGAAATATAAGACAAAAGTAAAGTCAAGAACAGGAATCATGTCAATAAAAGACGAAAGAATCCCTTTGACCAGCTATAGCTCCCTCATAACATGATTCGGGTCGACCGTTGCCGCACGAATTAGAGGTCTGAACTTTGGTTTAGGTTGACCTCCTAGGAGTTAAAAGGCCACATGTATTGCTTTCAGTGTGCTTTTCTCACTGCTGACTTCATTAGTGTGGGGAGAAGGCGGGTAACAATAGTAGCAGTTGCGAGGTGTGCGTAAAGGTTGGTCGCTTTCCATTTTCTCTCACTCTGCGCATTCTGAATCTATCTTTGTTTTCTCTTTCAAAACTGATATGATTTTGAGATTTATGATTTTGAAGCTGTCTTTTCTTCTACTTAAGGAAAGGCTTCACGTAGCCCATCCTCATCTTGCAACTTTAATTTCCCTGCATTTGCTCCCATTGCTCACTCCCTTCCTCCTCCAAGCACCAAATCGAGCAGTTAATTGTTTCTTTGAATGTTTTTACTATTTAGATCTAACATGTACATTGGACTGCTTATGTTGTGGCGCTTTGCTTTTGCTGCACATTGATGTATTCCTTCAAAAATGATTAATTTTATGGCTTCTGAATGATTAATTCTAGGACACTCATTAGCATAATGATCAATTGCATGACTTATGAATCATGGGTTTGCAGAAATGTTTAGCCACTATGCAAATGAAATTAATTTTTGTTTTAGTATGCTTATTAATTGTAATAAAAGCACACGGTGATGTTTACCTAGCTCACGTACAAATGTCACGACTATTCATAGTAATGAATAGTGAGTTTCGGTATTAAAACTATGTTTGGGACAACTTCTTCCATGCTTCACTTTGTAAATCACTATTACATATAGCTCAGCTGCACCTATCTAGTTACTTCTCAAAAATTTATATGATATAAGTTCTTTCACAACAAATTTGTTAGAATGTGGGAGACATACAATTTAAAGAGAAAGAAGTTTATAATAACCGTTGTAACTTTTAAAAACTCTAATTTACCAATAATAATTTCACAATTAATTATATAGATGGCTCTAGTAATCCAAAACAGATGCTAAAGCTGCTATTGTGGTTTGCAGTTGTACTATTGAAAGGGTTTTAAAATATTGTAATTTCTCTTTATGGATTTTGCAATTCTTCATGAGAAGTCTATCATTCCCATCTTCTAAACATAAAAATTGAATTGATTTGTGAGTATAAATATAAGTTCTTGTATGAATTTTGAAGTTATTCCTTTGATAACTCGCCCCAAGCTGAATTGGAATACAAACGGGAAACAAATTGTTATGGTATGGCTCATATACCATATCGGGACAGACGCTGGATCGAAGCGGAGCAGAGCGGAGCGGAAGAATCTGTCCAAATTGGGAAGTTACGTGGGTGGGGGTGCGGGGGCAAAGCCCCGCGGTATGGTACAGGGGTAATGTTGTAATTACATATTGTGCCTAGGTTTACTCCTGGGGTTATAAATAGGCCTGTTAGTAACCCCAGGAGGTATCCCTGAATTCTGTAAACTCTTTTCTGAATATTGAAAGGAACTCGCCGCTCTGCTCCCGAGGACGTAGGCATCTTTGCCGAACCTCGTTAAATCTCTGTGTTCTTCTGGATTTGTGTCGTTACTGTTTTCTTTGCCCTTATTTTCTCAACAAGTGGTATCAAAGCCAGGTTCTAGGGCAGGGAAGAAAATTTTCATCGGCGCAAGAAGAAGTTCAGGCGGCATATCTTGCACGACGCAGGCGCAGGTTCCAGATCTTCGCACGAAGGATAACTCGGCCGCAGAGGTTTCGTGCGAAGGGCTTTGGAGCGGGTGCAGGAGAACGAAGTTCGGGCATTTTGCAGGAGAATCGCGATCTGTTGTTCGGCAGTTCGGGCGATCGCGCGACCAAAGGACACGGCTCGGGAGAAGGAATCGCGAAGGAATCGCGGGAGGCGAATCGCAAAGGGATCGCGATAGGCAGAGGCGAGAGACGAAGGAAGCCGACGGCCCGGAAGCCTTACTGGAGGCGGAACAAGCGGGATCTAGAAAATTCCGAGGCAGGAGGAGGGCGCGGGTCTGCAACCTTCCCCCTC